TTAGACTGGCTCTGTACATAGCGTTTGCAGTTGTACTCGTCTTGAGAGCTGACAGTTCTACTCGAAAGTTGTACTCGAAGATAACCTCCTTCGGGAACTTAATTAAGTGTGTTTACCCCGTTTCGGGGGACCCTCGGATGCACCCTCCGGGACGGCATTGCCGTTTTATTTGACATTGGCGTCGATCACTAGACCAGCGGTATTTCACTTTAAGCAGAAACGAGGTTTCACTAAAGGGAAGATTGCGTCAACCACTTCCTTCACCATTGCCACCGTTGACCATTGCCACCGTTGACCATTGATATCGTTGATCATTGCTTCCGTTTACCATTTCTACCGTTGACCATTGTCATTGCTGTCTTGCGTTCACATACTTGTGCCATGGTTGTGAGTGATTTGTGTCTCAAGCTTTGGGACTTTCAGAATCCTCGCCTTGCGCTTGAACATGCCTCGACGTGATGACCGTGAACGTTCTCGTACTCGTCACCGCGGTGGGCGATCAGAATCGCTACCTCGCAAAGCACGCAGGCGTAATGATCGTGATGAGGATCAACGCCAAGCAGAGTCTCAAGACTGGCTCAACCCCTCGATGTGGCAGGGCCCCAATGGCGCCGCTTCTGTTCCACCGCCGCCACCCATGCCTACAGCGCACAACCACTTGATGACCTACATGCATCATGCACCAGCTGCGCCTGGACTTCCTCTTTCGCACGATCCTTGTCATCGTGCTCCTCACGTTCCACCTGCACATCAGCATATACCAACATCGACTACGTTCGCGAATTCCGCTGCGCCCAGCTCTTCAGCTGCACAGAGCACTCAGCGCCTGCATTCCGGTCCCATGGCAACAGGGCAACCACTTTGGCTCACACCTCCTGCGGAGTGGACTTCTGGAGAAGGTCTTCTGGATCGCCCAGCTCTACTCCTTCACGCTACCAGTTTCAGTCGCCAATACTCCTCACACTCGTGAACGTGGAATGGCCGATCTCGACATTCGTGACGTACGTTTAGTTCAAGCAATACATGGTGGCCTTTCAAATTGGTTGCTACGTCCTTTTGCTCACGGCCGCTTTGTGACATGTGTGACATGGGAAGGATTCCGTACCAGAACCGAAGCCCTTTTGTGGAGCACCTGTTCCAAACTACTACGCCGATCCCAGCAGCTCAACCTCCTTACCCTCGAGAAGGAGACTGCCAGCTCCCTAGGGCTCAAACTTGGAGGACTTCAATCAGCGCATCAAGATTCATGAGCATTTGGCCAACAACATCCTCGAGCACCACGCGGCCACCCAACGCTGATGCAGTCGCGAATTGTCATTCACTCCAACGCCAAAATGAGCTTCTCAAAGCTGAACTTGCCGCGACACGCAAAGCTCATGATGCCTCTGCTACTGCCACGCCGCCCACCATGCCCGCGGTGACCACACCTTCCCCTTCCAGACCTTCAGAGTCAGTGGCATCAAGCGCATGTCTACCCATGGCCAGTGCTGCCGCCGCTGATGGGAAGTCTTTGGACAAGAACTTCGCGAAGAGCCCCATTCTCAATTCACTACATGGTCGTTCCCCTCGTCCGCCTCATGACAAGAAGCAGGATGATCCGATCCTTGCAGCCACCGATTCCACACATCATGCGCGACCACAGGAGATCCTGGAATACCGCGATTGTTTGTCAAGCATGCTCCCACTACGTCAACGCCAGCCTCAGTGCTCAAGTGGGCCAACCATCCTACACGTCTCAACGCCAGTCGTGACCTTGAACCTCGTGCTGTTCTGCTTCAACAAGCACGCCAGCAGCGGCATCTTTCCCATCTATGGCGGCCATGTGGGGTTTGGAGCCCGGCTACATCACCAAGCTCGCCGACAAAGCGCTGTGCATTCTAATTGTCACAGCACGCACTCTCGCCTGATTAGACGCTTGAATCTTTTATCCTATTAGCCCGGAGTGGTATTTGCCAGAACAGTTGCGCAAGCAAAAGATTGCTCGCTCTGCAGCAGTGCGTTGTTACCGGTTGTATACAATCACGCCCATTGCTTGCATGTTGCATTGCGTTGGCATCGTGAACATTGGAGTGAATTGTGTTGTGTCATGAATTCGCAGCTTTCATTATGTGGTCTAAGTTTAGATCGAGTGGGATTCTCGATGATTTGGTACGCTGGCATTCATTGTCTACTTTTCTCAGCTCGTTGGCCTTCGTTTCTGCTTGCTGGGCTTTTGCCTTTCCTGAACTACCTAGACCTGCGGTACCTGCTCATGAAGTTGCATCAATCTTGAAGTTGGCTCACATTGATATGATTCTTGAAGCGCTTACACTGGCTCGTGTCTCGTTGCGGGTTCCTGCAGGCGCGTTCTCGAGCACCCCCAATCCAACGGCTAATCGGTATGAACTTCACCGCTGTCCACTATCAGCCTTTTTGCTCCTATGTTTCCTTCAACGACTCGTTCTACAACACAATGGAGACATCCCTGCGTTTTTTGAAGTATTGCACTTCTACAAGGCCGCGCTGTTCCGCGACATTATGTTCCCCCCATTTGCTGAACTTCGCCATTTGCGTTCCCTACGTGCTCGACTACCTGATCTCAATGACTTTCTTCAGGATGATGCTCAATTTCAACAACCATGCGTCTATCTTCAAATTTCGCCATGGTTCATGCCATATTACATCGGTGCAACTGATCATGATGTTCTGCACAGCGAGCACTCTAGGTGTCGCAAGTTTCTCCAACTTCAACGTGATCAGCATGCCTTTTTCGAACCTGCCCTTCACTACTGGCGACGTGCACAGAACTATTGGTTATACTGTGCCGTACCCATTGAAATACAAGGGCCCTCACATTCCATTTGGACCCAGGAGAGCAAGTGGCAATATATTCTACGACCGCAACTCAATGCCCCATGGGTACCGCATCCTTCGCAAACTGGGGTATCCTGACCACCTTGTTGATTTCCGTCGTCATTCCATGTCATCACCAGCTTCACACACTCTACACAAGAAGTTTCGCCGACGCACATCATCAACTACGACCTCAAGCTCTTGATGACGTTCAAGCACACTACAACCAGCTTTACGAATTAGGTTCAGACACAGGTGCATCCTTTGAGACGATGCGCGAACTACTCTCCGCCGCTTTTCCACCCACACAGCTATACTACCTTCTTCGGCTGGTTGAGTTCGTCAATGAACCATTCCGCTCCAAAGCCAAACGCCACATCGCCGTGATTCTCACAAAACGCCACCTCGCAATACCACCATCCTCTGCCAACTTCCTACTTCCTCCTGTACATGCTACGCGCTGGAAGCAAAGACTTGGAATCTGGCTCAAGCAGCGGGTCGCAGATCGCAAGCAGCTGTTTCCTTCCCTCTTCCTGCCCAAGATCCGTGTTATTGAGACCCGCAGTGCCACATTGGGTGATCGAATTTTCAGCTATCGTGGCTGGCAACAAAGATGGACTCCAGACACTCATTTTCGCTGTTCGTGCTTTGACGTCTCTTCACAGCATTTGCTTTTTGCTCACTCACATGCCGTCATTCTTTCTCATTTCGAGTCAGTGTTCTCCGAGATCGACCACGACGTAATGGCTGCATCCATGAAAGATCAATACTACGGAAGCTCAGAAAAACTACTTGCTCAGCTACGTCAGAAGGTTTGCCGGCTGGCGTGCAGATTGCGACTCCAGACTTCGACATTCCTCACGGACATTCAGGTAATTCTACAAGAGATCATTGATGAACATCACTGCAATCTTATTTCTTCTTCGCGCTGGACATCAGAGATGATCACCCCAGCGGTGTCCATTTTAAAGACCTGGGTCGTCACACCAGCTGACCACTTTCCTTCACGTGCGCATGTTCTTTGCCCTGCTCTCTTCTCTCAATTACTTCACTCCACTTTTTGCACTCATGAAGTTTTTGTTCCTTGCCGTCAGCCGCTGCTTTCCGGGCTCATATGCTCATCACGATACCCCCACGAATCCAGCGCCAATATGCCTGGGGACTCCGACTACAAGCACCATTGCCAACAGCGAGAATTCTTCCCAAGCCTAGCAAGGACTGGATGAAAGCGAGGCCCATTATTTCATTTTTTCGCACATGGGCAGCCCCACTTCTGACAGTTTTCGGTGCTCTGATCTTTGAGCTCACCAGGATCACCTTTCCACACATTCCAGGTCAACTTTCGGTACAAGACCTCATTCGACAACTTTGGGATGCACTCTCCAGCGCTGATCCGGAGGAGTACGTTCAACTCATTTCGCAGGATTTATCAGGCTTCTTCACGTCCATCCCGGTGGAACGTTTTCATCAAGCTCTTCAAGTTCTCCTCCATCAATACGACCTCAAAGTTGGTCTTCGGAATGTATCGCATTGGTCGGTATTCGAGCTCAAGTCCGAGTACAGGAGCCAGTGACGCTGGGACATCTCGCCCTGGCAGCCGTCCTGAACCTTATAACGCAGAACCGCCTCACATGGACAATGCTGCATCTCCGCGCTATGCACCACTTTGTCGGACTACTACCCTGGGCGCCCCTACGCGGCCTATTTTTGAATCGTTGCCGGATGTGTGAGCTCTCAGCCGGTTGATCAAAAACTGCGTTGTGCCTCGAGTTCGTTGCTTTGCTTGTGCTTGTCTTGAATCACATGCTTTGAGGCTCGTGTTCTGCTGTTTTGGGTGCGTAGTGTCTCACCAGACGACACCATGGACTTGGATCATCTTGGTGATGAACCTCCTCGGCCCACGACACTGATCTTTGTTCCTGATGAACCAGTCATCCTTGATGGAACCCAGGAGCTACCACCCCTGGATGGCAACACATATCGGACGTGTAGCAAGCACTGGATCGTTTATGACTCAACCCCTGGTGAAGATGAGGGAAGCCCAATTTACGTACGGTGGAGCTTCGTTTGGAAGCTACAAGATTGGCGCTGTCAAGGGTATCAACATGTTCTTTCGAGACAGGACTCCTTCGACACCAACCTGGATCCACACGCACCTTTCATGCTGGATGCGCCTCGTGCGGCCCTTCTCCTACCGGCGCAACTGGCATCTTCTCGCAGCATTGGGCGTGAACCACCCCGGAGGTCTCTTGATCGTGAGCGCGGAGCCCCGACACCTGAGGACATCGTGGCGTTCCAGATCACCAGGACGCCTAGGCTATTTTGGCTCCTGAACTGCCTTCGTGCTGACCTGCCCGTTCTTCCGGAAAACCAGTGCATTCGCCCCTACGGGGGGCGTGTGTGTGCCAAGTTCCAGATATACCCTGGAACCATTTCGTAAATCATAGCAGGGGGGCGATGGTTCCTTTGGTGTGCATCGCCCAACGAAGACCGCACCATTGGAACGTGAAATCAGTCCAGGACGCTGGACTGACGTACCTGCAACTTTAGATTGGCTCTGCACATAGCGTTTGCAGTTGTACTCGTCTTGAGAGCTGACAGTTGTACTCGAAAGTTGTACTCGAAGATAACCTCCTTTGGGAGTTCAAGTGTGTGTGTGCGTGTCTTGCTTTTGAATGTTGTCAATGGGCTCGGGCTGTTTTTCCTTTCTGATTGTAGAGGTTAACTGCAACTTGTGCGGGCAAAATCCAGGATTCTCGCGGTTTCGCACCAGGAGATTGCCGATGAGTCTGGGCGCTGGGTCCTTCCTGCCGGTTCCCGAAGCGCAGCGATCGAAACGAAACTTCCCACGTCAGTCGGTGGCAGCCTTCAACCCCTGTTTGTTTGCCGGGGGTTTCTGAAAATTGAAACAACCAAACAAAAAGAGTCAGAACTCATGTTCTACCATGGGTTGTGCACCCAGGCGTGCCTGGGGGTGGATTCCCGAAGCTCATCTTGGTTTTGTCTACACATGCGTCCCATCTAGAGAGGATGAGTTGTTGTCTCACGTGGAAACACATTTCTTTTTTCACATTCCTTAGACAACACGCAAAAGAGCACCTTTTTCCCAAGTTGCAAACCGACATCCGGGCGAAACGTGGGAAAACCGGTAAGGTCGACATGAAGTCGCCGCCGAGCATCACCCTGTCGCCTGGCGTCATGCTCGCCTCAAAGGTGGAAAGCGCCGGGGGGCGTCGAAGAAAATGAGGGAACCACTGGGTGCCACATGGCAAGTGTCACTTTTGTTTCCACAGAACCCAAAGGAGATGGGTTTATTACCGTTGTATTTAGCATCCAGCTGCCTGCTCCGGCTACCGCACATCATACTTGTGCATCACCAGGCGCTCATCACATGTGTCCCAAGCTGGCCCCGTCACCAAGAACCCAACTTGCAAGTTGGAGGGCGAACTTTTGACACGGCTCAGGGATGACAGGGCAACGCGCTTTATCCCGTCCAAGAACCATAAAAGCGATTGCCTTAATTATTGACAACGGAGTCCCTTCAAAAGAGTTTTGTGTGTCTTTTCACTTGCAAGCAGTGTGAAGAGTTTGATTGATTAGCTATCGGTATAGGCCTCTGATTCATCATGTGGGCCCCTGTTTTTGTTGACCCTCCAGCTTTTTTTGGAGCGCAAAGCAATTGTAGGTTGCGGGGTTGGAAAGAACAACGGACCTTGCGTTTTTCAGGCTTATGGCTATGAATGCTCATCATCGTGCCAGTGTTCGATGCAGTCAGTTTTGGTGGCTGCTTTCCCATTGCAATCCTAGACTGGCTTTGAGAATGGAAAGCCATGGCCCCAGTCCAAACCTTACGTGCGTAGAACCCGCGAAGCCCTTTTCAGAAGGGCTTGGACTCGAAAGGCGCTTTGCACGCCAAGCCCTTCAAGTGGAAGGGAACAGACCGCACCCAGTCCACAAACTCCATACAATCCAAGCGAGCGTTTTTCCAGGTGGGAGGTAATGAAAGACTTCACCAGTAGTGTTCTCAAGCGCTCGGCTGGTAACAGGCCAACAGGCAAAGTCTAGCAACATAGATGGTGTCACTCCGTAATAAAGCTCCTAGACGTTTGTCACTTTTTGGGAAGACCAATTTAGTGGCAAGCAGAAGGTTCTGGGCACTTCCTTCGGCCAACCCACTTCGGATCCTGAAGTGACCAGCTGATTTGCATATGCCCTGTTGTATTGGGGGGGTTGGCCGACTTTAGAGGAAATCCGCCAAAAGAACATCCCTGTTCATTCGCACGGCCCACTCGGCAGGTGGGAGGTATGTGTTGTTTGTTTCGCCGCCCGCAGTCGATGGTCGCCTCCGCCGGGGTCTCGGAGAAGTATCCCATGGGCAAGTCTGAGGCGCCCAGTCGGAGTTGGCATGGGATACTCGAATGGAGCGTGAGCTGAAAACAGGATGTAGTAGAGGTGCGCCTTATTTTGAAGATTATGTTTGTGCGTATTGTGTTGCTTGCTGTGTTGCGTTCTTGCTTTGCTTTCCCTTGCTTGCCCTTGCTTTCCCTTGCCCTCCCTTGCTTTCCCTTGCTCGCCCTTGCTTTCCCTTGCTCTCCCTTGCTTCCCTTGCTTTGCTTTCCTTGCCTGTGCTTGCCGGCTCGCTTGTTTGTTTGTTTGTTTGTAGGTAACTTGGTGCCAAACGGCACATGGCTTTCATTTGCCCAATGGTCGCCAACTCCTAATTAGAGGTAGGTCTGGGCGCCGGTGAGATCCCTTCCATTTGATCTGTACCCTTCGCAGAGGATTTACTTTCTTGAGGCAGGCTAATGGGCAGGTCTAACCTTGTTTTTGTTTCGAGATCTGCTTCTCCCCAAAAAGCGAACCCTTTGCAGACCGCGTTGAGCGCGTTCTGTTTCAGAAGCAGGCTTCCTCCAAAACAGTGAGCCCTCTGCGGGCCTTAGCCTGTTAGCCTGCCTGAAGAAACCAAAGCCTCTGAGCAAATGGAACGGATGCAGCCTTTGAATTTCTGCCCTTTTTTACAAGCAACCCTGTTGAACGAAGATGCACTGGACCCCTTCATTGAACGTTGTCAATCCCGAGACAAGTTAAATCTTCAACCAAGAAACAGCACGAAGCTAAGACAAGGGAGGCACAAAAGGGTCCGACAGGAAGGCCACAAATGGCTTAGGAGTTCCTTTTCGTTTTCCTTCAAACCCACCAACAAAGAGGTAGACAACTTGAAAAGGACAAGCTACCCGCCGAAAGACAGGCGATGCAGCGCGCCATCGAGGGCGCCGAGGGGTACAACGCGTTCCCCGCTCAGCGCCTGCGGCAAAATGCTCGGTGGCTCTTGGACGAGGCGCCAGCGACGAGCGACGTTTGTCCACACGAGCGGCGCCGGGGGTTGGGGGGGACGGGCAGAAGCGCATTTTTGGACAACTCCAAAGAGAGGTTTTGTTTGGTTTTGAGCAAGGTTGTTGGCTAAAGGGGGCCAAGAGGAACTTTGTGTTGGGCCGTTTGGCTTTGAACGGGGTTTTGGTTTTGAGCTTGTGTTGGTAAGTGCGTGCGTGTGTGCGCGGGTGTGCGCGGGTGTGCGCGTGTGTGCGCGTGTGTGCGCGTATGCGCGTATGCGCGTATGCGCGAGTGTGTGGGTATGTAGGTGTGTGGGTGGGTGGGTGCGCGTGCGCGTGCGAGTGGGCGTGTGCGTG